TAATTATATGGTTTAGTATACCTACTGTACATTGATGGACATCAAAAACATTGTTACTAGTTAGGTAATATGAAAAAATATATTTATAAATATTTTAATGATATGCCATTTTGTGAAACCACTATTTAATATATGAAACTATTACTCCTATGTTAGTTATTGTACCTATTTGAAATAGATAGCTACACCGATCTCAAACAAAAATTACGAAACGTTCATTATTAAATATTATATAATATATATGTTACATTTTATTCATTATTATTTATTGAAAAAAAACTTCGACTAGATATATGACTACAATTCATGTCACACTCTGTAAACTCGGACAATTTTTGAATTGGGCTATTGTCCTGTTGAAAACCCAATTTTCACAAAACTAAATTCTAGTTCGGAACAAAACAAGACTGACATGTTCCCACTCATCACTGTATAGGAATGTAGCGGTTTTATTTTATTTTTATTTTTTTTTTTGTGGGATTTTATTTCACCCTAAGTCGGACAAGACATTTTCGATAAAACAATTCTTGAAAATTCGTTCGTTATTCACGAAAATGTTATATATCGGTCGGATTAAAGTTTCGATATTCTATTTGGAGTGCTATGTTATTCTTCTACCGAAAACTCTGTTTGACAATGTACCTATTAATATTATAAACACTCAAGTTGCTCTATCCAAATCATTTTGTAATACCGATCGACTACTTCAAACTGTTGGTTTTTTAATCACATTAAATTTGTCATGAAACATATTTTGTCATGTTTCTTATTTAAACTTTTTATTACATCCCAAAAATATTAGTGAGAAACAGATTAACTTATTGTATGCAATAGTAGGTACATCAAAGATAATTGATAACCGCATGTATATAGTTACCCCTGTCTACTGTTATTCTACCAAAATACCAAATTACATAAGGCATTTTTAAAATCAATTGTTTTTACTAGCTATACATTTTGTCTTTGCCTATAATATGAAAATTAAAAATCCCGACAAAATATTACACAATAATTGAAAATTAAAAATAATCTAAAAATGTATAGAATACATATTATTTGTAACTAATCTGTTTTGTATAGGTGCTCAAATGACAAATAGGTATTAGATTTTTTTTTAAACCACTCTACTGTATTGTAGGTTTCAAGTGTACCTACCTCGTCGTTGAGTATTGGTTACTGTTGTACTGGATGTGTTAAATTAGAATTCAATGACGAATCATTGTATACGAAAAAGGATTCTGAGAGGAAAAGGAGTGTCAGCATATACTTCTATAGACATTTCATCGTTTATTTATATTGCTAGAACTGTCTAGAAGTAAGTGGGTAGGGGCGTAGGGCGGCAGGCTTAACTATTTTATGCCAAAAATATGGCATTATAAATTATAATAATTTAATAACATAACTTTGATAATAATATATAATACTTAACTATTGCATAATAATAACTGTAAACAATATTAACTCACAAAATCACAAACCTCGATAGTTTAAAATGATCGATACCTATCTCGAAGAAAAATCTCCATCAAAGTTTCATAACACTTAGGTATGTCTTTCAGCTACTCGAAATTATCGATTATTCAAATTGTTTATTCACCTTTAGTAGTGTCAAATGTACCTACAATAGAATCTTCAAAATAATCAGTCATAGCCGTGGCATTAATTGTACAATACAAATAGCCAATAGGTACATTATTGGTCATTGGGTATAGGTAATAATAGTATGGGAACTATCAACTAATAAAATATAAATACAACAATTAAGTTAGTTATACTTTTATAGTTTTATAATGGTTTCCTTCAATCTTGTGGATGACAACCATTTAAATTCTATCTCCGTGGCAGATTTTGATAATATCTTTTATTCTCTTCTTGGTCGTGTTAAATGGCCCAGCAGATCATACGATTAATATTGATCAGTTAGGTAAATATTTTATCATAGGTATACGGTATCCCCAATATGAAAATTTAATTTTGCACATTTTTCATAATTATACGTTTCATATCGTTGAAGGTTATTCGCCCAATGGATATATAACAATATAATATTATATTTTGAATTATATTAATTATCAGCCACTATAATATTCAATGTCACATAAGTCATAACATAATTTACTGCCGTACTGATATAGTGATATACAAATATACAATGTATAATATTTATATAAATTATACATATAATATAGTTTGAACAAATTTAAACATCCGTTTATTGTGTTTAAATGAAATAATACATAAGTAAATAAATTGCACTCGAATATTATCTATATTGGTATCACCTAAATATGTTTTAGTCTTTAGAATATGCAAGCTACTTCCTGTTTAATATTAATTTGGTTTGTCATCTTTTCCATACTTACCTACAAAAAATTCAATGTAAAAATTATTAATGAATGATTAATACGTTTGCAAGGCATATTTGCAACTTAATACAGGGATTTAGACAAGGCAACTTAGCTGGTATTGTGGAGGAAGTCAAATGTTTGATTATATAATTCGTATGAGTTACCTAAATGGTTGTGAAATCTTTTATAAAAACATCTGGCTTCATCGTTTATTATCTTTAGTTTTAAATCAGTACCTATATATATTGTAGGATATAATTTGAGACGTTGGATGTTTACTTACTTAGGACAATGTTTTGGAAGGTTTGAATTTATTAATATTTGATTTTTTTTTTTTTTAATAACCCCATATCCGCAGTCTGTGGGTCTGTATTGGTTTTAGGGAAGCTTTGTAGGTATTTACCTAAGAAGTTTGATTCGCGTAGAGGCGTAATGCGTATTTATTATTACTCAATAGAGTTTTGAACATGCGTAGGCGATTATTTAGGGCTAGTCTTTGAGTTCATATATAGTGAGCCCAAGTCAATATTTAATCCAAGATACTTAACTATATGAGAGTAGGGAATGGGGATAACATGCATAGAAACATGTAATAAAATATAAATAGTAAATAAATATGTGTGTGTTTTTATTTTTATTTTATTTTTTTGCTATAATAACAAATATTGAACTATGCAATTTACTTTATCAAACAAATAGTAAGTGTACAATACATAGTATTATTGTAATTTTTTAAACCGTATTTTTTTAAAAATATTTTCATTTTAGCGTACTAATTTAAACTAATACTTTCTTTTTTTTAACTGGACGGCGATTTTTTTGATAATAAAAATGAAAAACCAATTCAAAGAACATTATTATGTACTTATATATTTATACCTATACCTGTTAAAGCCAACGATAATAATTATTATTACATAAATGAGAGATAGATACTGAAATGTATATTATTGTCGTGTCTCTGTACCTACATATTATAACATATTAAAAATGAGTGTTATATTATAACGAAAAGGTACTCTATATTATAAAATACGTTATAGTTTATACGTTTGTATAAATTAACTTTGCTGTTGGTAGTATTAAAATAGTGAAATAATTGCATTTGAATTTTGTATTTATAGGATATCGTTGTTTTATGATTATTTAGACCTACATTTGAAAACAATAGTTTAAAGCAAGTACACATACCTATACATAATATGTATATTTGTTATGAAAAATTATTATTCGTAATATAATATATTAGTATCAGATATAGTTTTCAAAGATGTTTTAACACTTACGCGCAAGTGACTTAAGATATTTTCAAGATTATTTTTTTGTATATATTATAATTTTAAAATATCTGAAATAACACTACATAATAGGAGCAGTCAGGTGGTCTGAAAAAAAATATTATTCTAAAGAGATTTATATTTACCAGTAGGGTTTTTTTTCTTACTCAAACGCTACTTGTCTTTTATTATTCACAAATTGTGCGACCCTGTCCAAAGCCTTATTCAGCGTGTTTCCTTTGAACTCTGGAAATTATATTTGTATTCAGTTTACTTCGTATTACTTGATATACTAAGGTAGGTACCTAGTATATAAATATAATAACATGAAATAATATTTTTTGTCAGGTATGTTTTTCTTTTACTCGACTGTCCATTATGTGGCTAGAACAATACCTAGTTCGCTTTTACCTTTACTTCAATAATTTCAAAACCTATTATAAACGAATTAACCCTGATTATAAATATTATACATCGGTTGTATGGGTACCATAGTAAGTTATAGTTCACGGGAATCAGACCAAAGACGGTAAAACGGTTTAACCCATATAGTTGGGATTTATGAAATAATAAAGTATGCAGATGGTATAATAATTAATCTGCTCGAAACTCGTAGAAATAAAGTCAATAAAATCAGAAACTCACCTTATAAATAAATTGTAAATAGTATCAAATACTTAGTATTTAGATTTATTGTTTTCCTCTATTTGTTATTAGGTATCATTAATATTAAGTAATAAATTGTGTAATATATCAACTCATTTTGCAATGTAATGTTACGCGTCCAATATTCATATATTTTGCAATAGTTTGCTTAAAAAAAAAAAATCATGATCAGAAATATTTAATTAGTTTATTAATTGACATGCAAGTTGCGATTAATGATATTTGCACGTGATCGATCCTGCTGGAGTCTGAACTGCTTTGAGAACACAACTTTTGAAGTACTGTCTGTCGTTGACAGTCGAACGTTATAATATTATATTTAAGGTTATTATTAGATCCGAGAGTCTTTGACTATAGTTTTAAAATGTTTAACCCTCGATGTACTGCAATCTTGAGGTCAACAGGTGGTTAGAGAATATAGTTTTCAGATATTCATTAAACGTGTATAGAAAAAAATGCATACCTATAACATTTATTGTTTGGCAAAAAAAAACATATACATGGGCATTATATGGATATTAATTTATATAAAATATACCTACTACTACAACTACAACTGTGGTCCATTAACCATAACCTTTCGTTTAAGCGTGCTGATCTTTATAAAACATATTTTTACCTCCCGTCCTTAGTGTAAACATTCACTCAATATTGTACCTACCTAATATTTTCACCCACGATTATCATTCAACGTGCGTTTGTTTTATAGGCACAACGATCTGCCGTGGAATATTCGTAAGTTCGTACACAATCAGCTGATGTATTTCAATTTCTCTGCGGATTTGACGACCGTGGAACCGTGGTCGAAGAGTAATTGGTCTCAAACCGATTTACCGCGGCTCAGAAAGGGCATGGTTGGCGCTCAAGTAAGTTTAAACCATATATAATATTGTATACGAAAAATCAACGTTGCGGATGGAAGGCTTTACTTTAATATTTTCCGTCAAACTCGAGTTGAATATAAAGATTACACGCGTGTTGCACCCTGAAAAAAAATTAACTCGCCGAACGTGTCGCCCATTACAAGCCACCCATTATCGAGCTCGTCTATTGTGTATTAAACGTTAAAACCATTTTTATATTCTTTTCTGGCTGTAAACGATGGTTTTTTAGCTCTTGTAATTTTTCGATTTCATTCTCGACTCGTCGTCCCTGTATTAAGTATTTAATCCGTACACCTAATGATCCGCACAATTTCCAAAAATTCGTTTTAATGGAGTTGTGTTATACGAATTATTATATTATTTTTAAAAGCCACCAAACCTATAGACCACTGCGCAATAACACATGCACAGCATGTAGGTAAGTACCTATAGTTTTCACATCGAGTCTAAAACGCACGTATGTTGGCACATTGTATATCATTCCAATAGAAATCCAACGTCGGAATGCAATGTTTATTAAAGTGTCAACAAAATCTGTGATATTTAAACATTTTTTTCCCCGCCTCTGCTCTATATGTTAGTAGAATGCAATTTCATAGAGGTGTCTCTCTTTGCATACATTATATTCAGATATTGTGTAGGTATATTGTGATCTCTACCATCTCGTATTACCATTGCCAACTATTTAATATTTCATTCTTTAAGACAGTATATACTGTAGTATTATGATACAACGTAGAATATTTGTAATTGGAATTTATTCCGTAATAAAGAATATTATTATAATATAATATAATATTCCCTAATGTCTCTACAACACTCGGAGTGCATTCAAATATTTGCTAATGCCTCAAATTGCGTGGCATTTTCGGTAATATTACAAACCAAGAAAATTATGTTTTCCGGACAATTCCGCTATTTGCGAAGTATTAAAAATCATCTCATCTTCAAGCATGCTTACATACAAGAAAACTGCAACATCATAATCAGCCCTCTCATAGATTTCAATCCCATATCCAAAAAATGAGCTTGTTCAATACATAAAATAATTTATATTTAGAATTAATAAGCTAATATTCTCCTCACATGTGCCTACACCTGGAATAAATAGCGAACTTAAATTAAACTTGATAACGAAAATCTACAGCGAACTAATCCATGAGTAACCACATCTTCCCACAAAACTATAATATACATCTTTTCTCCAGGGTAGAAAGGGCTTAAGTCAGTTTTCACAAAAAAAAAATGTTTTGCCGCAGATGTAAAGCTTAATTTTTGCAGATTTTTTTGGTACATTTGGCATAAGTCAGTGACGAATATTACTCATATCATTGAAGAAATAAATAGGGAATATCTAAACCGTTTCTACGTTTGGTAGAAAAGGCATATGATAACTTATGCTTGGAAAAAAAGACATATGTCAAAATAAGTGAAATCAAAAAGACATAAGTCATGGACAAAAAGGGCATAAGTCAGAAAATGTGAAATTCAAATGGCATAACTACAGTTCAATCTATACATAATGATAAATTCAAGAATTTTAAGTCATGAATGTAATTAGAATATGATTAATATACATAAATGGTTTCTATAATATTCGTGGTTGTAACACTAAAACGTGTAGGAATTTCCAAACTTTCAAACGGCTGTCTTGAAAAGTTGATTAAATTGACATTGCCCTTCTTGGATGAAAGAAACATTGGACCAAAGACATAATAATCTGAAACACTCAATTTTACCCCATACAAAATTATGTAAGAACGGCAGTATAATATTGGCTAAATATTTACTTCCCTCCAACCAACTTAGAAATGTAGAATTGAACATAAAAAATTTCAATTCCTTTTATATTAAAATAAAACTGGGATAGTAATCATCGCTCAACCAAGAAGAGGCCACGCCCACCTAACTCACGTATACCTTATCAGTAAAGAACCAGCACCAATATGTGATACATGAAATGTAATACTAACAATAGTAGAGCATATTATAGTGATTAACTGCCCCAAATACGCTAAAGCCTGCCAAATCCTAAACAACCCACCAACACTAAATCAAACCCTCAATGAAGAGTACAACTGTAGCATTCTGTATGTCTTCCATACACGATAAGACAACGGTTGTAAATATTCTGAACTTGTTGTAGTTACTATATTTATAATTTATGTTAATATTTTATTTTAGTTATTAAATTTATGTAGGCTACTGAATATTTAGTTGAAGCTTCTTATGGAATATAAAAATATATATACTATATTCGCCCACTTCTATCGTTTAATCCATAACCCTTATAACATCTTACAACGCCCTTTCCAACTTGTTAAACTTATTGGTTAAAGTCAATACAAAATATTTGATTCATATCAACACCATAAAAGAAAAATGTATACCACTTCAAAAATAATAATCATTTGTACCATACACAAAACTACCTTTAAAAATGCTCCATTATTTATTTAAAATACTTGCAAGATAAACGAAAAAAATAACTCTACTGTAAATTCCTTATTTGAAGTGAATATTAAAGGTGACGTAAATAAACATAATATTATATAAACTCATCATTAAAAAAAAACTTATTATTTATTATGACTTTGAGTTGTACAATCTTTTGTTTATAACGGAAAACCAAACAGATATTTCTACGTAAATGATGTCAATTTCTTTTACATTTAATTCGAGTTTACGAAATAACTTTCAAAATTTACTAATTGTCTACTCATTATATTAAAATTATTTTACTTGTAAAAAATCAGGCCATTTTCAAGACTCAATACTCAATAGTACTTTAAAAAAGATAGATTAAAGACCTCAATTTTTCTATTGATGTAAAAATATATTTTATAGTGACATAAATATGATATTTCTAAACTTGACACTATGTATAATGTATATGCATATATTATTTTATAATTTATTTGAATAATTAAAATAGTTTTGTTTGATCATCATAATTTGGTGGATTGATAAATAAATTAAATTATTATGTTGTAAATAAAACAATATACATTTCATAGAATATATTATATAATATTATGATATTATACGAAGTAATAAACATTAACCATATATTCCATATTTATTTCTTAACTTGATTCTATAATACCACTCGTTTCTATAGGTACTTATATAATAGTTTATACTTTACTTTACTTTCTTGCAAAATAATGAACTACACATAATACTTTAAGTATGGTTATTTGTTTGTAGGCTTGTAAATAATGCATATACATCAGAATACCTGTTTTCGTTGATCTTTATAGGGTATTAAAATTCACTTCTGTAGTTTTGTGCCTAGAGGTCAGTAAAATACATTCTAATAGAAATTTGCCCTATTGTGTGGAATTGAGTACAATGTATTAAAGTTTAATATTTACATCAGGGGTGGTCAACGCTTATGGCACTCAAATGTCGAGATACTTTGTTTTGAATCTCATATAATATTAACGAGGGAAAAAATACCTTCTCTAAGAAAACATTTTTGAAATGTTATTCATTTTTCTCAATTTTTGGAATATACTAAAACGAGATATATAATATTATGTGTGTATTTTAAAACATTGTCATACACGGAAGGAATGATAATAAAAAATTAATTTATATGGAAACCCCCTTAAAAAAATGAGAAATATAAAAGTTTTCGTTTTGACTTTTTGTTCTACATTCCTAATGAAAGAAATGGAATTTTGTTTTCATTTATTAATATACTGCGCATTTGAACAGAAATTATTATAGGCAACCGAGTTACTTGGTATAATTTATTTAATCTTGATTCGAATTAAAATATACATTTTTTTTAACTATTTTGTATATATTATTAATGCCATATAATTCTTCATAATTAAAAACTTGAATGTTAAAAAATTTGGAAATCAATTGTGAAATTAGACGTTGAGACAAATACCCTTTTCAACCCTCAAATTGTAATATTATTTTGAGACTATCAAGTACAGCAGTGATATAACATTATAACTATTATATGAACTCAAAAATTAATATTGTTATATATTTAAGACATGGCTTTTAATTTGTAAACAATTAACATATTATTATACATATTATAATAAATTATTTCTATATCTGAGTAAAAAATGTAATTTTAAATTATAAAAAGGAATAACTTGCTAATTCTTCAAGGTGTTAAATTAATTACGTGGCATATTAATAAAAAAAAAATGATTAGTTTTTCAAGTAAATGTAATTTTCATAAAGTACATAAGTTGTATTACCTAATTGTTTTGCAGTTGCAATACTCAGTTATTATTTTTACAATTATTAAAACCAGTTTAAAAGTACTTGGGATCCTAATGTAGGTATAAATTAATTAACTTGCTTTTTTAATTTATGACAGAAATATTTAATTGTGTTTTCTTTTTTTGTATAATTTTGTAGTTTTTTTTTTGTTTTATCAAAAATTTCATTCCACCGTAAATTATAATACTCTTTAATTAAATAACTGTTCTTTCTTATTTTCTAACTCATTAATAAAACAACAAACAGTATAATACTAAATATATTATTTTTTTAAAAGAATAACGTTGTTTAATAGTCGTTTAAAAAAAAAAAATAATAATAATAAAACCTGATAATTTTTGAAATGTATTATGCTAATCGTCTTAAAGTATAATAATATACGTCTTGATATCTACCTGCATAGTATATTATACCATATAAGTGATATAACACTTATACGTAATACATATTATCTACATTATTTATTTGGCAATACAAGTAATACTCTGGGCATTTTACATTTTCTAAAAAACCTCGATTTTAATTCTTTGAATACGGTTCTAGTTGGAAAAAAATGTAATTATAATTATATTAGCAACTAAGCTCTCGACACAAATTATATAGTTACAGCTTTAGTATAATACTCTCTAAACAATAAATATATTATAACATGATGGTTTAAATTATTTTTGCTGAACTGAATATTAGGCACCTACAATACCAGCACAATTCTATTTGAAACTAACAAT